CGTGAGCTGCCGCCCCGCCCCCGCCTGTCACGTGGGTCCGCCCCGCCCCCGCGCCAGTCCCGCCGACGCGCCCGGGAACTTACCCTACCTCGGAGACCCGCCTGCGGGACTGGCCGCCGGGCCGCCGTGCAGCGCTCTCCGGGCCGGCCTCAGCGTCAAGCGGCCGCGGTGCGACGCGAAGGGGAAACTGCCCGCCGCGAAGCCGCCGCGCTCGGGAAGGAGGAGGGCGCGGGTCGCCGCAGACGGAGGCAGGTGGGCGAGGCGCTGCACAAAGGCGCTTGGGGCCGGCCGCGCCCGAGAGGGCGGCGGGCCTGGGGGGTCGGGCGCGGGGCGGGGCGGCCGTCGCCACCCATTGGCTGACGCAGGCGAGGGGGTTTAAATGGCCCGAAGTTGCGGCTCCTCTGCCGCCGCTTCCGGACTTCCTTTGCGGGGCAGCGCCCCCGGCGGGACGCGCGTGAGAGGCCGGCGCGGGCCGCCCCCCGCCCGCGTGGGCTGCGGACCCCCCGAGCCTCGGGCCTCTCCGCGCCGCGGACCGCACGGGGGCTTTCTGCTCCCTGCGGGCTTCGCAGGCACCCGCCCCCCTGGGTGCACGTCCGCGCCCTCCGCTTCTCCGGGGGTCTCCTCAGAGTGCTCGAATCGAACCGCCCTCGTCGGCAGGGCGGCCGCCGTCGGAAGAGCAGGCACGCCCTGCACCGCGGCGGCCTCACACGCCAGCGCGCGGAGCGTCTGGAGTGTGCCCTTAGCGGAAGTCCTCGCGCCATCCCAGTGCCGGTGTGGCAAGGCTTTGAACGCCGACCGCGCACTTGGCTGTGCGGTCTGTGGTGACACTGGGGACGGTGTCGTCGACCGTCGAGGCCTGCGTCTTGGGAGGCCAGGTGGAGGCAGGTTCTGCATCCAGACTCGGAATTCGGCAGTGAAAGCGTTAAAAGGTATCCAGTCTCTAGCCACGCCTCTTTCATGCTTAAAAGTCAGGAAATAGTGGCCTGGAGATGTATTTATTTGTCCACATCCAGTGTTTCTTACCTGACCTCTAGGAGGGTGTGTTGCAGAACGGGTCAGCTTTGTGTACCTGTCTGGTCTTAACAGACGGTCTGGCTCCTGGCGCATTATTTTTCTCTTTGTTTTAAAATTGCCGTGGCAACGTTTCGGAGCGGGGGCTTTGAGAGCCCGTAGCAGTGCCTAAGAGCAGGCAGTGAAAGCGAGACCACCTGAAGAGCCAGACTGCTCTGAAGATGTTTCTCCGTTGGGGAAAAATAAATAAATGAAAGTGTAACGTTGTATGTGTGTATATGTATGTATACGCCCCCGTATTTGTTGCTAGATTTCTGTTTGTATTTTGTCAACCATAGAAGTTGGAGAAGATTGCTCATTCATTGATCTTAAAATACCACCACCCGTATAGATTATTTGTTCACATATAATCATCAACACTTTACCTGTTTTTAGGTTTATACTAGTACACCACTTGCGAGGTGCAAATGAAAATACGTAGATGCTGTAGAAAAACAGCACATTGTAGTTAATTGGCTTTTCTTTGATGAATTAGAAAGTATCTGCTCAGTGGTTTTTTTTTAATAGGCTGGTAGAAAGTGAACATTATACATTTAAGTACTTTGACATTACTAAGAATAATAAAGGTAATAAAACTTTTAAATGGACTAAAATAAAACTGAATAGTGGTCATCTGTAAAATCGTCACAATAGTAGTGCTGTTACCTGAGAAAATGGGCATTACACTTTTGTAGTAAATTGCGAGAGAAAAAAGTGAAATTAAACTTTTATTTTGTATTTAACAATTTATGTTATAATTGCAGATACGCAGTATTTTGCAGAATGAATCAGGTGTGAAAGATATAATGGTACCACATAGCAATGCTGTACTTTGAATTGTGCTTTTCAGGTCAGCCTCTTTTGAGGAACCAAGTTGGCCACCATCCTTGTGGTTTTTCTCTTTGGCTACCTGGTCAGAGTGTGGCTCAGTGGCTTTGCTATGATTCAGGCATTTCTCTGTTACTTTCATTGACTTCATTGATTTAATGAATATCCTGCAGTTTTATTTTGCAATTGATTAGTTTTTTATTTGAACCGAACTGCCAAATGCTGCTATCACTAAGCCCCCCTCCCCTGTTGAAGATCTAGTGTTTCTCAGACTTTAATGAGCACAGGAATCACCTGTACTTCAGGTTGTGTGGGTCCTCTTCTGCCCAGACCACGGACTGCTGCCGTGCAATGGAAATATAATTTTAAAGTTTCTAGTACTCACATTATAAAAAGTAAACAAGTGAGAAAATGAAGTAAATAAATTTATTTAACTCAGTATATCCAAAATATTTTAATGTGTAATCAGTATGAAAATTATTAGTAAGATATTTTACCGTCTTTATATTGGACAAAGTTTTTGAGTTCTCATGTGTATTTTACATTTCTAGCATATCTCAATTTACATTAGCCACATTTGGCTAGTGGCTACTGTATTGAACAGCAGTTTTGCAGTCTAAAATTGAGACCTGTGCTATTTTAAGTGTATTTTCAGATTAGCCCCTTCAGCAAATCTTGGGAACTTGTTAGAAATATAAATTTTAGGACCCCTACCTCATACCTACTGTCATTAGAATATCTAGGGCTGGGACCAAGTAATCTGTGGTTTAAAAGCTCTCCAGGACATGGCTACAGAAAGTATATGTGGTATTCTAGATGGGATCCTGGCACAGAAAAAGGACATTAGGGAAAAACTAAGGAAATCTGAATAAGATGTGAACATTATTATGTATCAATATTGGTTCATTGACTATGACAAATGAACCATACTAATAGGTAATGTAAGATGTTAATAATAGGGGAAACTGAGTCCAGGCTATATGGGACTTCTCTGTACTATCTTTGCAGTAATTGTGTAAATTTAAAACTCTTCTAAAATAAAAAGGTTATTAAAAAGAAACTTTTCAGATGATTCCATTGCTCACTGAAAGCTTGAGAATCAGTGATTTAGATCATTAGTGACTTATACTACTGTAGTTTGGGTGGGCAGCATGGAGACTAGGGTTTTTTGGGTCTGGTAGGGCAATAATACTAGTATTTTTGTAACGAGCTAAAACTCATGCACTTGCCATGTGCCAGGCACTATGTCAAGTGCTTTACACATACTTACTCATTTAATTTTCCCAATATGTGGTATGCATTATTAATAAGCTCCATTTCATAGATGGAAAAAACTGAGGCTCAGAGAGGTTAAATGACTTGTCTTAGGTCACACAGATAGCAAGAGTCAGAGACAGGATGTTTTATAAGTAATTAGTGCGTTTGTGAATATTTTTCTACTCTCACAACTTTTGCTTTCTTGAGTAAGCAGTGATTAATTTGGAGACTCTGGGCCAGGCGCGGTGGCTCATGCCTGTAATCCTAGCACTCTGGGAGGCGGAGGCAGGTGGATCGTTTGAGCTCAGGAGTT